TTGTCATTGCACTCTAGAACTTACTCAATGTCCTGAATGACTAATCAGAAGAAAAAAGTCAAAACTGCATTTAAATGCCTATGGAAAGAGCCTCTAATGTGGTCCTTAAGACTTCAAGACAGAAAACAAAGATGGAAATATTTGGGACATTAAGCATTCCCTGATGTTTCTTGTGGCCTCCCACAGCAGCCCAGTTTACCTCAGGGCAGAGTTCTCCTGGCCTGTTTATCAAACTGGGTTCCTGCTGCCTGACTGGAGAAGAATGTACTTAAAAGGATTTTAAAAGCTCAGTAAAAAGGATCAATGTATTATAGGTCATCCATCAGTGACAGAAGACTCCTGGACCTAAAAAACATGGAAACTGTCAGTAGAACATTTGGTGGAGAAGTTTGGACTCCACGTGTTTTCTGGAGCATGGTGGCTTTGAGGAGAACTCTGCAGAATCTCAGCTCATGCATTACCTCCAGGAGCCTTGGTCAGAAAACAAGACTTGGGATGGGGTGGAGACTGGTGTTGGTTAGAATGCAGAGTGGTTTTACTATTTTTGGAACTGACCTCCGTGTTTGAGTAAAGGTAATTTGCATGGGCAGGGTATAGACTGCAAGCTCCTCAAGGACAGGAATTTTAGTCTGCTTGGTTCACTGCTGGATCTTGAATACTTAAAACAGTGCCTGACACAGAGCAGGCACTCAATAAATATGTGTTCACTAGATGACGGGTATTCCCAGGCACAGAGACTGATAGATCTCTTTCTAAACATTGCCCTAGAACAAACATCTCCTTCCCTATGTGAACTTGGCTTTCATAAAAAGGGCCACACCAGACAGTACAAACATCCTACCCATGGTCAATTACTGACACAAAGGCAGGAAATTGGGCTTCAGGCCTGAAGGTACAGAAATCTTAGAGTTACAATGGTGCTGATGAAAAGCAGCAGGTACAGCCCTATGGGTCTGGTCAGGTGGAAGACCCCCCATGCTACATTCTGTTCTGCTGTTTTTATAAATCTATAGGGAATTTCCCCATCCAACCCAATAACTGCCTTTCAGCCATCAGCTGCTGCTGTGCAGATAATAAGTTTTCTTCATTGCTGCTCATCAGATGATACCGTTTTATCCATGGCTGCTCAAGTGTCTTTGGTTCCCAGGCCCCTGAGCGAACGTGTAAATGAATACAGTTTGAGCACCATAAGATCATGCTTTCTCCTTCCCACTACGAGTTGCCGATGCACAGCAGGTTAAGGCTGCATGCTGGTTTGGGGCAGCAAGCGCCTCTGTCAGTTCAGGCACAGGGAGAAGCAGGGTAGGGGGAGATGCAAGGATCAGATCGCAACCCTCAAAGGCAGCTAATCGTATAATTGGATCGGGCTGATGCAATCAAAGAAGGTGCCATGTGGTTTAAGCAGACAATGGCCCAAAAGAATGAAACCTCCACACAGAACGAGGATGAATAGAACATGGCCCAAGTTTCCATCTTGCAGTCTTTAATCTTTTAAATCAAAATCCCAAAGGCCTTGTTTCTGTACTTTAGAGCCAAGGTGCAGAACCTGGACAATGGGCTCTACTTCAGAGCACTGATGCCCCAAAGGGGTTGTGCCTTTCCATCTTGGATGACCTGAGATGACCTACTGGGAAAACCAACGAGTTAGGAGGCTGGAGTCCTGAAATCTGGTCCCAACTTTGTCACTAACTTGTGTGACTTAGCCAAGGCACTTCCCTCTGTGGACCTCACTTTCCCTATCTGTAAAATAGGAACAATAATCCTCTCTCACTTACTCTAAAGCTGTTGTGTGAGAGGTCATGTTTATGAAAGTGCATTGAATATGATAAAACATACAAAATAAATATGTAAAGAGCATTATTAGAAGATCATAAACCCACAAGCCTTCATAGTCATCAGCCTTAATTTAACCAGGCCTGTTCTATGACCCATGTGAAGTACTAGGCTCTATCTTCACAGCGGGCTGGGATCTCTCTAAAAACAGCCACAAGTTGCCAAAGCTCCTTTCTCCCATGGATAAAGAAGAGTTAGAGCCCCCAAACGTTCTAAGACACAGCCATGACCAGCTCCCTGGGCTGAAAACCAAGACCTGCATGGACTCCCCAAGGCTCTGCATGACTCACAATCCAGCCGCCTCCATCCGTGTCCATGTCACAGTACACCTGCAGGGGCCGGCCGGCATCACCGTGCAGGTAGATGGTGTATAGCCCACTGGCAGCGTTGCTGTTCCGCTGAACCTGACTGCAGTCTGAAGGGTGTGGAAAACGGGCACCAACTGGGAGCCAAGCAGAGGGACAGGGTCATTAGCAGAAGGGCAAGGACAAAGGGGAGTGGGGCTTTTTTTAAGGCAATTTGTTGTGTTTGGAAATTATTTCATAATCTCCTATTTTGTTTCTTCTAACTCTTCTCTTGCTTCTTATTTTTCTCACTCACTCTGCTCTCACCAAACTCTCCAAATGCACCAGAACTAAGGTCAAGTTCACATCATTTCCTCCACCAATCCAACTCCCCACATAATAATACTCCATTTTGCTCTTCTCCTTAATCTCTCCACTGTGGCATGGGTTTCTTTTGAAGCCATCACCCATTTCCATTTTCCCACGCTGAGAGAAATCCATAGTTCTGTATCCACTTGCTCCTCCTTGGACAATTTTCCTGGCCCCTCCCATGCTGGTCCTCTATTGCAATGTTGTGCAGAGTGCAAGATTACCTGTGGAGAGGGTGGTGGCTGCACTCCTGCTCCGATGATCACCTTTAAAGGCAACCAAGGAGACAGGGTACGTGATGCCCTGCTCAAGGCCTTGCAACTCAAACCTCTGGTCACCTTGTCCAAGCTGCACATCCTACCAAACAAAGGAGAGAGTAGGCAGTCAGTTATTGAGTTTATGCCCCCTGGCACCCTAGGTATCAACAGAATTGCCGGGTACTAATGACAGAAGCTCTCTAAGGGCACAGTGGCATCCCAGAACCCCAGCGGATCCCAGCCACTTCTCTAGAGGACTGTGTCACAGAGATTCAGCACTGCTGGGAGCATTAGTTGAGGGCCAGTCCCAGGCACTGCACTTTGAGAGCACTGGCCAGGTTTCCTGGAGACATCTGCTATTTCACATACACGCTAGGGCACTGACTCTGACACTGCTGGCAATAACAGGCTGGCAATGCTGGCCTAAGGAGATGTGCATGGGAAGGTGACACTGGCCATTGCTAACTGAGACATGGAGATAGTTGGTATTCAATAAACTTCCTTCTAAAATTTACTTCCCCCAAAAGCATAGGGCTAACTTTTCCCAGCAGGATAATCAAAAGTATTGAGATAATGAATAAATGAAGGTGCCCTTCCTTTTTTCCTTCCTCCCTTCTTTCTTTCTTGCTAAGGAGACCAAATAACAATTTTCCATTGGGACAAGTCTTGGAATTTTGCTGGCCTTCAGATCCCATGTGGAGAAATAACCCTTGAAATAAGGGTTAATCAGTTCGTTAGATAAATATTTGTTATGCACTTACCATGTGCTAAGCACTGTCTTAAGTACTTTAGATACAATGATAAGCAAAACAGACAAAAGTTCCCTGCCCTCATGGAGCTTACATTCATCGTGGAAGACCAACAAGAAACAAAATAACATGGGGCAGATGTGCGACCAGCAACTATGCATCGATCAGCAAGGAACAGGCACAGAGGTTAGTCCTGACAGTGACACCACTGTGTTCACAAATGACTGTGCCTAGCACTATCCCCCTCGCACAGCAGGTGATCAGTAAGGATCAACTGATTGGCGCACAGGTCACCATGAGGCCAGCAATGAAGCTGACTGGCCCAAGTCAGTTGCTTCACACTGAGGCTACAGAAGAGAAGGCACCCAGAGAAAAGGCAAGGAATGCCCCGTACCTTAACTGTGCCATCTGGGAATTGGTAGGTCAGAATGTAGCCATCGATCTGAGCAGAGGGGGGTGTCCAGGTCAATACCCCACCAGACAGTGTTGCAGCAGATGGATGAAGGTTTTTGGGAGGGTCAATTTCTGTATGTAAAAAGTCAGGTAACTATGATTACTAAGATACAACTGAGGCAAGGTAGTTTTTTAGATATCGATTTATATTTTCTCCCTACATATCCCCCCATTTCTTTCTCCCTTCAAGCATGTAGCAGGCTCTGTTATTTCTCGCCACAGGGCCTTTCTGACCTTTGTTTGAAAAGTGCAGACCCATGGAGGATTAGAGAATTAAGGAACAGGGCATTGGGTGGGTTCCAGAGGCAGGGAATCTGGGTCCCTACCTCCCCAGCAGATTCCCAAAGAGTGATGGATATGAACATCCACATTAGCAGACAGATTCTCAGAGACAGCAAAAAAGTGATATGGAAGGAGGAGAGAGCCACAGATGTGAAAGGGCCCTGCACACAGAAACCAGCGGGGTTCAGCAAACAACTACCTGGAAAGATGACTGAAATGCGGGATGGGACCCCAGTGCCGGCACTGGGAAACCACCCTGCAGAGAGAGCATGACCCTCAATTTACTGAGATTTCTGACCAACAAGCAGAATGGGGGCTTATGATGAAAACTAAGTTGGTACAGAAATATAAAGTTATATTTCTTACATACCTAAGTTTGTGCCTTTGGATGCATACCTAGTACAGAAAGAAGAAGGGGGGAACGGGGGCGGGGGAGAGAGAGAGCAGGAAAAGAAAGGAAAGGAAGGGAGAAAGGGAGAAAGAGGAAAGAGAGAAAGAGAAGAGAAAAGTAGAAAAAGCAGAGAACTCTTCTTGTACATACTTCCCCACCCAAACAGCAGAGGGAAGGCATGGGCATGCGGCTGTGCACCGTAGACCAGGAAAACTAAAGCTCAGCCACACCACCAGTCAACACCATAGTAACTGCTCAGACGGCTTATTTTTTTTTAACCAAATAAGATATGAATGGAAATTTCCATTTTGAAAAAACATCATTTTAATTTAGAAGTTCCCAAAACGATGTCTTCAGGCTATTTTCTACCCAGTAGCATTTCAGCTGAGGACTGAATTGGAGTATTTAATAGAAATCAGACAGCTGTTGTTTTGAATTAGGATGTTTTGACAAATTTGGGGTTTCTGTACTATCAGCTTGGTTTGATTTTCTAGAGCATAACATCTGGCACGGATTGTATTCTATCCATCACATGGAAAAACTGAATATCCTTCTTTCAAAATCAAAGCAAAATTGTAACTATTTAAATATCTTAAGTTAGCTTCTGCCACCTCTTTGCCTGCCCACGCCTGCCCTGGTTATGGACTTGAGATGTCTGTCTCTGTTACTCACACATTTCTGTGAAGTAGAAAGATGATAATCTCATTATTGTTATCTTTAAAAAATGTGAAAAGTGAAGCAAAGAGAAGATAAAGAAGGAAGAAGGGGAAAAAAGGAATGGGGGCAAGAGAAGGAGGGAAAAACTAAGAAGGAGAGAGATAGAGAGGCTGGTTACTAGTCCCCTCTCAAGAGCAACACCGGGCACTAGGGAGTCTGGGGCAGAGAAAAGAGTTTTTGATATTTTTTTAAATCACACCTTTGTTTAGAATGAAAATTTTTACTATAAGCACACCGTATTACTTTCTGGATTAAAAAGGCTGGCTGATTTTAACTAATAAAAATCATAAATTCAAGGTACCTCTAACTCCGGTGGCCACACCTGGTCACTCGGCCACAGAGGGGATGGACAGACCTTGCCCTCACTGCCCGAAGAGGCCCACAGACCTCACGGTGGGCATAACGCTCTTTTCCAGGTCCCTCTGAGGCCTGATCTCCATGAGGCTCAGCTGAGGCCGGAGGCCCCATCACACACACATAATACATGCAGTTCAGGCACCCTGAACCAACAACTGGACATGGAACAGAGGAAGATGCTCCAGCATTGCCCACCTTCTGGAAAATGGAACAGAAGGCACTTCTGCCTGTCTTCACCCAACTAGAGCTGAGGCCCAGCCAGCCACGTTCTAATGCCAAGGGCAGAGAGCCAGAGAGGTGAGGGAGGCCACCTTTTGCACAACCTTCACACCATGTCCTTGACACTCTTTCATCTCATCTGAACTGTCATGTCAACATATTACCTCCAAAAGGTAAAACAGGACTGCCTTGAAGAATGTCCTCAGGTGAAGCAGCCACCCTCCCTGCACCCCTCCACACCCCAGTTATGGAGAAAGACTCTCTCCTGGTCAGTGTGAAGTGTTCCCCAGTCCCAGTCCCTCACACTACCTGTCGGGGCCTTGGTGTCGGCCTTCCTGCTCTCGCGGGCCCCCTTCTCGGCCCACACGTAGACCGTGTACTCCACGCCCGGCCTCAGGCCCGTCAGGACGGTGCTGCTCTGTTCCTTCCCCACAGGAACCTCCCTGGTCTCTCCATCGGCCGAGGTGTAGCGCACCATGTACCTGTCAATGGCGGCTTGCACCGGGTCCCAGGAGACGGGGGCCGTATTCTCTGTCACCCCATCAGTCACCAGGTTTTGGGGGCTGTCAATGTCTGAAAGGAAAATGCTGGTTAATATACACTATGAACAGGCAACAAAGAGTGAGGCCATTTTTCCTGGGCTGAGACAGTTTCCTGTTCTTATGGTTTTCCCATATCATGTGTTGGTTTTTAATTGTTTCATGGACAGAGATCTTGTCTCCACAGCTGGATTCTTGAATCCTCAAGGATACAAACAGGAGAGTGGAATAAGCACCAGACTCAGAGTCAGAAGAGCTGGCTTCTAGTCACAGCTCAGAGAGGCAGAGCAGAGGGCCAGGAAGGCCCTGGGATGGAGCCAGCAGACCGGGAATCTAGTCTCAGCTCTGCCATCAGCCAGCTGTGGCCCTGGACATCTCATTTGCCCCTGCCTCAGTTTCCTCATTTGTAAAATGTTGGCCTTAGACTAAACAGATTTTAAGGTATCATTATAGGGCCGGCCCATGGCTCACTCGGTAGAGTGCAGTGCTGATAACACCAAGGCCACAGGTTTGGATCCTATATAGGGATGGCTGGTTGGCTCACTGGCTGAGCATGGTGCTGACAACACCAAGCCAAGGGTTGAGATCCCCTTACCAGTCATCTTTATAAAAAAATAAATAAATTAGGTATCATTATATTCCATGAATAGTCCATGGATCTAACTCCATGAATCATCAGCTAACTTTGTGCCTTGTAGAAATCATGCACCCCTCTGTATTGGAGGTTTCTCTACTGTAAAATGGAGACATTGATTCCTGCTCTGTGCAGCTCAACAAATTACTTTGAGAACCAAGTAAATGAGGAAAATAACGGATCTTCTCCATGTTTATCAATGTGGAAATTTTCTGTCCTTGTAGCTCTCACCAAAATAATAATAAAAATCTCCTGAGCAACAAGATAAAGCCACCAAAACTGCTGTCGAAACCACCTCTATTACAATCTCTACGATATTGAGCTATTTTTTCACAGAATTTGAGAGCCAAGAAGTCGTATCTTTTCTGAACTTCTTNATCACAACTTGGTTTAGAATGAAAATTTTTACTATAAGCACACCGTATTACTTTCTGGATTAAAAAGGCTGGCTGATTTTAACTAATAAAAATCATAAATTCAAGGTACCTCTAACTCCGGTGGCCACACCTGGTCACTCGGCCACAGAGGGGATGGACAGACCTTGCCCTCACTGCCCGAAGAGGCCCGCAGACCTCACGGTGGGCATAACGCTCTTTTCCAGGTCCCTCTGAGGCCTGATCTCCATGAGGCTCAGCTGAGGCCGGAGGCCCCATCACACACACATAATACATGCAGTTCAGGCACCCTGAACCAACAACTGGACATGGAACAGAGGAAGATGCTCCAGCATTGCCCACCTTCTGGAAAATGGAACAGAAGGCACTTCTGCCTGTCTTCACCCAACTAGAGCTGAGGCCCAGCCAGCCACGTTCTAATGCCAAGGGCAGAGAGCCAGAGAGGTGAGGGAGGCCACCTTTTGCACAACCTTCACACCATGTCCTTGACACTCTTTCATCTCATCTGAACTGTCATGTCAACATATTACCTCCAAAAGGTAAAACAGGACTGCCTTGAAGAATGTCCTCAGGTGAAGCAGCCACCCTCCCTGCACCCCTCCACACCCCAGTTATGGAGAAAGACTCTCTCCTGGTCAGTGTGAAGTGTTCCCCAGTCCCAGTCCCTCACACTACCTGTCGGGGCCTTGGTGTCGGCCTTCTTGCTCTCGCGGGCCCCCTTCTCGGCCCACACGTAGACCGTGTACTCCACGCCCGGCCTCAGGCCCGTCAGGACGGTGCTGCTCTGTTCCTTCCCCACAGGAACCTCCCTGGTCTCTCCATCGGCAGAGGTGTAGCGCACCATGTACCTGTCAATGGCGGCCTGCACCGGCTCCCAGGAGACGGTGGCCGTATTCTCTGTCACCCCGTCAGTCACCAGGTTTTGGGGGCTGTCGATGTCTTTTTTAAAAGATTTAGAAAAGGTTGAACTTTAGAACCAAGGGAGGGTATCCCACCACCCCGTCACCAGGAGCTCTCCACTCAGGTTATCATTAATAATGGCATAATGCCATCTAAAACAGAAGTGAAAGGCCCCAGGTTCTGATTTTCCAGGGAAACAAACCCCTGGGTATTAAAACTGGAAGGAATCAGATCTTCTCCATGTTTATCAATGTGGAAATTTTCTGTCCTTGTAGCTCTCACCAAAATAACAATAAAAACCTCCTGAGCAACAAGATAAAGCCACCAAAACTGCTGTCGAAACCACCTCTTTTACAATCTCTACGGTATTGAGCTATTTTTTCACAGAATTTGAGAGCCAAGAAGTCGTATCTTTTCTGAACTTCTTGACTTATGAAAGGGGAGGAGAATGGAGGCTCAGAGAAATAGAGTTTGGTCCAAGTTCCTGTTATTTTCTTGTATTAAAACCAAGGCTGAGAGCTGGCCTGTTAGCTCACTTGGGAGAGCGCGGTGCTGATAACAGCAAGATCAAGAGTTCAGATCCCCATTGGGCCAGCCACCAAAAAAAAAAGAAAAAAACAAACACCAGACTAGACTCCCCTTGCTCTGTATTTTGAGCTCTCCCACCTTCTCAGGGACTTTGCTCCTTTTCATCTGCCCCCGCCCCGCCCCCACACAGCAGTCTCTTCTCTTCTACCATCAGCCCCAGACAAGCAAGCTCCAGGACCTCCCCTCCCCTCCCATATCATTCCTTTCCTCTGCACTCGGAACCCACAGGCTGTCTCAGGAGAAGTGTCTGCATTCACTCCTCACCTCCCATTCACTCCTCACCTCCCATTCACTCCTCACCTCCCATTCACTCCTCAACTCAATCACATTTGGCATCTTCCCAAGTCACACCACTAAATCCGCTCGTCTAGGTCACCAACTACTTGTGTGGCCACTTCTAATGGACACTTGCCGTCCTTGATCTACTTTGCAGTAGCACTTGGCAGAGCTGGTCCACGCCCTCCTGCTTGAAACACTCTCAACTCCTGGCTTCCGTGACTACACACCCCCGGGTTTTCCTCCTAACCTACTGGCTCCTCCTCCTCAGTTCCCTGTCAGCAACCTTCAAATGTTGGAATGTCCAAAGCTTCCTCTTTTCCTCTGTCTACATTTCTCCCTAGGTGATCTCACTCATGTGCATGGCTTTAAATACCCACTGATGCTCACTGCTCCACGATATGTACGAATGCTGAGCCTCTGACATGTATCCACGACTGCATATTCACCCCAGGGTCTGGCCTGTATTAGATACTCTGTAAGTATTGTGGAATCAATAAATAAATCACTCAATTAGCCAAGGAATCACGTAAGTATCTCAAGCTTAAATATATAAAACTCTTAATGTTCCTCCCCAAACTTATTTCTCTCTCATGTCCCCTCTCCAAAAAAAAATGACACCCCAATTTTCCACATTGCTAAGTCAGAAACGCAGATCCTGCTCGAGTACTCATTTTCTTCCTACCCCACATCTCATCCATCAACAAGTACCTCCAAGTATTTATATCTCCAAATATATGCCCAGACATCTCCTTTTCTCTACGCCCACTGCCAACACTCTTGTCCAAATCGTCACCCTCTCTTACCCAGACTTTCATAAAGGCTTCTTTACTGATCTTCCCAAGTCTACCCTTGTCATCTCTGCCATTTATTCTCATCATTGTGGCCTGAATAACGTTTCTGAATGAGGACTGCATCATGGCACTCTTCTAATAAATATAACACACGTCTTCTTTGAGGCACCACGTGGTCCTGTGTGGTCTGCCCCCTGCTCCTTCCCACCTCTCAGGCCACTTGGGCTCTCACCCTCTAGGCTCCAACAACACCAGCCTCTTTTTAGTTCCTCAACCATCTCATGTGCTGTGGCAGCTCAGGGCCATTGCACATGCTCTTCCCTCTGCCAGAAATGCCTAGTTTTTCCTAATATCCATTTTTCCCTTTTTCTAAAAGCTGTCCAATAGATAGAGCTCTCTGTAGTAATGGAAATATTCTATAATCTACATTGTCTGATACAGTAGCCATGATTGACATGTGGCTATTGACCATTTGAAATATGGCTAGTCCATCTGAGAAAGTAATTCTTTATTTTAATTATTTTAAATTAAAATTTAAATAGCCACATACAGCTAGTGGCTGCTGTGTTAGTCAGGACAGGTAACAAAAGTTAAAGTTGAGCACGTGGGCATCCAGCTAAAGACCTCATTTCCCAGCCTCCCTTACAATTAAGCCTGGCACTGCAGCTTGGGTCTGGCAACAGAACGTGAGAAGAACTGGTGAGTGCAGTGCTCCAGTCACGCCTTGCCTTTTCCATGCCCCTTCCCATGAGCTGAAATGCAGAGGGGGTGGTGACCATTTAAATGAGGGCAACTCCCTGGGAATGACTGAGCAATAATACAGAAGAAGCCTGGGTCCTGTACGGGGGGGCTCACAAACACTCTGCCACTCCAAAGAGAGGAATAAACTCCTTTCTTGTTTCAGCAACTGTTATTTGGGTGTATCTGTGTGTATACTATTTCTATTCACCCATCCTACTTAAGAAACATCCCTACTCTGTTATTCTCTGTACCCACACCATGTTCATCACCTTCATAGAACTTATCGTAATTTATGGGTATGAATTTGTTTTCTTGTCTTTGTCTATCTTCCCCGCTGGGCTTCGAGAGAGTGGAGATCATATTTGTTTTGTTCACCACTGTATCCCCAGGCCTGGCATTTAGAAGATGCTCATTAAAAGATAGCTGCATTCTGAAATGAACACAGGGCTCCAGCTTCCCAGGTTAATACTTGCTCCTTTATGCTACACAGAATCTGTTAAATCAAACCAACATAAAATAGCTTGTGATAAAACAGTTCTTTGATCCAGTGGCTTTAGGAATTTTATATTGGCTTTACATCTGTAATTTTTTTTTTTTTTTTTTTTTTTTTTTTTTTTTTTTTTTTTTTTGT